CTCTGGTGCAAATTACTGACCTCTGTCATCATTTTAAGTGGGGGAACTTGCACAATCGGTGGCTGACTAAATACTTTTTTGCCCCACTGTATATAAAGACAAAACATGGATACTACGGAATCTCTCCATCTAGCAGGAACACAGTGAAAGGTGAAATACTACTATCGGTAACTATCAGACTTCCAGATCTGTCATGGAATTGCTCAGCAAAACATTTGCTCTATAAAAGAACTTGGTTGAATATGGATGGCTGAGCTAAAAGGAGGAAACATACATGTTAGGGCAGTACAGGAGTGTGTAGACAGAGCCTGCTGCAGAACACTGTTTTTTTTTGAAGAAGTCAGAGGAAACAGATATGCAGAACAAATGGAGAATTAGTTAAAAAAAATCAACAAACAGCAGAAAAACGCTCTGTTTGAGCGACCAGAGGTTCATTCTGTTTTTGTCTTAGTCCTGTTTGCTTTTCCTCGCCCCTCTGCCTCCTCAGGCGCAGTAAAGGATTATCCCTACATCTCTCTCTGCTCTCTGGTCTGTCTGGGAGCCTCATAAATTGGCAGGCTGCGCTCTTTACATCTGTCACCCTCTCTGCTCGGTTAAGGGAAAGAAGAAGATCTGTAGCACACCGGGGCTGTGATTCGCAAGATTATTGATTTGAGGAGTAGGCTATAATTCATCTCTCCCTCCCTCATATCCTCACTCCTGCTCACTGCCTCTCACTTTCTTGCTCTTTTCTATTTTCTTGGCCTCTTCGGTTTGTTTTGTTCACAGCCTCACCGTCTCTCCTGTTCTAAATCTGATCTGCTGAAGCAAATGTATTCACCCCTTCATTCTCTCATTTTTGAATGGCTCCCTTCAAAAGGTTATTGAATTGCACGCACCAGGTACACCTAAACCTCTAATAATTAACAGATTAAAAGACCTAGAACAGTTTTCATATGAGAATGAAATTTGTATTTTTGGGTTATGTATTATAGGGGACATCCACGAAGTGAATCTCCCGTTCCATCACATCCTAAAAATACTGGCAGCTGCCAGCGCTACACTGCAGCCTCCTAGTAGATACATGCATGGTATAAATTTCAAAGTCCTACATTGCCTCGTTCTCCAGTTATCGCATTCACAAGATTTTCAGAAAACATGACCTCTGACCTTGAGGTCAGACTTGAACTCGTCCAATATTTTTAGTAGATACACTTATGCTATTGATTTGAAACGCCTACCTCTCCTCTTCCTCGAGTTATCGCATTCACAAACGTAGGTGTTCACGCCACTTG